ACATAAAAAAAAAAAAAAAAAAAAAAAAGTTTTTATTTTAATTAAATTGAGACATTGCAAAATGAGAATAACCATACATTTGTTTATTTATTTCTAATCAAAGTTATTTGCATTATTTCATAAATATTTGGAAAGGGTTAAGGACAAGGCTAGTTTTAACAATATGTAAGTTTTTTGTTTTTTACACTCTCTATACACAATTATATTAATAAAATAAAGTTTTATTCTTTTTTTTTAAATTTAATTTTTTCCCTCAGCTAATAATTAGACATTCGAAATAAATTTATGAGACGAAATAAAAATTTTTAATTTTTTTTAAGTTTAAAAAAAATGACAGTGTAAAGAGTAAATTAAAAGAGATTTAAAAATCAATTTTAAAAAAAACTTTCAGCGACATAAACTATTTCTTGAAAAAACACATAAAAAATTATGTATAACCTCCGAATAACCATCATCGATATTAAGGGTCAATATTTAATTAAAAATATTTCATCATTTATTAAAAGATATTTGTTGTAACTAACTAAACTCTTGTTACCACTTGTTAAATTTAAATTTCGATTCTAACATATATATTTAGTATACATATATATTTATATACGAATTTACATCTTTATAATATTTCGAATTAAATTTAATGACAAATAATCTCAGTACTTGTTTTTTCTTTTACATTTATTTTTTAAAATTTGTTTTATAAATTAATATACTGTAAGTAAAAGCAGTCAAATCTATTTTTCATTCAATTTACAAAAAAAATTAAATTCATATTTAAATTTATATTTTAAAAAATAACTCGTCGACATACGACAAAAACTAAAATTTTCATCAAATATTTTCTAAACAATTTTAATAAGGAATAATTTAAAAGTGATGAACATTTCATACTAACATTGAATATAAATCACACTGACAAATCAACTAGCAAGTACAAATCAAGTAATTTAAAGTTAAAGTGAATTAAACTTGTGTATGTGTGAAGTTAAACACTTGCAGTATGTATGTAATTAATAATTTTAAAAAATTTTTATACATAAAATCCATGTGCAAATGTTTTCTTTTACATTCTTTAAATGATTGTTAAAAATGTTACATGTAAATATACATATAGATAGATATATATATTTACTTTTATTTTTTCAACTGTCATAATGATAATGGCAGTGCCTAAATTAGTCACAACTGCTTAAAGTAATACGTAGAAATTCGATATACCTTGTAATAATATCAGAAACTGACATAATATACAAAATTAAATAATAATAAAAAACTATTATTACGTTTTTAAAAAAAAAAAAGAAAAATAAAAAAATGATTTATATTTACTGTTGATGGATTTTGAGTAAAAACTACAGTTGAAAGAAAATTACGTCACATCATGCTTGAATTAATAACACCCAACAAAATATATCATTTCGTATTTTGTAAAATATAAAAACACTTACCACAAAGTGCTCCGAAAGTAATTACTGTAAATAGTAAAAATTGACTAATTTTTAAATTCATGGTTATAAAACCGTTTTATTAAAAAAAGAAAAAAATTGCACTATAAAATCACCTGACCGTACCCTAAAGATGACTATGAACTATGCATAGTACCAACCCAAAGGGATACAAATCGGGTTTACGTCACGGCAATAGTCTTGTTGCCGTGACGTAAA